ATTACCCATGATAGAAGATTATCTATATCTGGCGCAACAGTTTAGAGCAGCAGCTTACAAGCAGCTTACACAACAGTTTACACAGCAGCTTGCAGTAGCAGCTTACACAGCAGCTTGCAGTAGCAGCTTACACAGCAGCTTGCAGTAGCAGCTTACACAACAGCTTCCTTTCTTCTATAAATAGAGGAGAATTCAGTTCATTATGTATAGAAGTTTGAAGTTTGAATAATATATCAGTTTCTCTCTATACTTGTCTTTACTTTACAGTCTTTATTTTATAACAAGGGGGAATTTGTTATTCTTATTTAGTGTGGGTTTTTGTTTTTGTTTTACTTCATTGTAGTTGTTAGTCAGTTAATGAATATGTATATGAAAAGATATACTTACATCTTCAAGGGATTTTGATCTCTCTTTATACTATAAATGAGTTAGTGCACCATCAACTACGAAGAGAAAGAAAGTCGGGAAAGTTTATATGGACCAACTTGCTGGCGATATGTTCTAAGTTTATACACATTAGTCTTTCTTCTTTTTTTGTTAAAATTTATTATACACAACATTCATATGGATGTAGTTAGACACAAAACTTTTAATAATCGATATTAACACCAATATGAAAAAAAATATGAATCTTTAAAGCGAGATGTCGATCGCCAAAAATAATTCCATAATGTTGATTGACTCTCGTTGGATGTGCAGTATAATTTAATAATTCGTGACAAGTTTGAGGGGAAGGAAGAGGTTAGGTAATCTGTCTAAATTTAACAATAAATTATAGACTATTTTGTAGTATCAGATAGATTAATTTTATTTTTTTCCACTAAAATTCTGAATTATCATTTCGAATAGATAATAAACAAGATTTCCTTTTGATTTGATAGTCTGCTGATTAAATCAAGATAACACTCTAATTGTGAATTCCAAGTCGAGATATTATATATAAACTTCATCATTGCAAAATATTGATTATGGAGTTTAAGTCAAGTTAAAAACAACAAAATATCGAGGCCTATTATTACATCTATACTACTATTTTTTTTAAACTTGCAAGAAATTTTTGTTGATAGACCTTCTCTCTTTGACGAATAACAAGACACAATTTGACCGATTTGGTAAACTATTTAATATTTTCACAATTATCGTTCCGATCAAGAGTTGATGAGGGGCTTATCTAAGAGACGTAAATTGAATTTCGAGAAGAAATTTAAGATGGCCAAATAATTTGATTGTCAACTATTACATATAAAGAGATTGATAACAAATCAAAATTATAGTCTATTACCCATTTACCGTTAAAATCCGAATTATTTTCTTGAGCTCAAAACTTTGCACCTAAAAATAATTATTCAAACATTGTCACACTCCTTTTCTACCCCCAAAAGATATGTCCGTCATATGGGTTGGGTTAAAGAGTTTTTCCAATTAAAGTGACAAACTTGAGTAGGGATTTATTTTACTTACAGAGTCGCCACTTGGAATTGAGTTTTGGGGTGTTCCAAGTCACATTTTATTTGAGTCCCTATTCAAAGGAAGATTTGACTCTATTATTATTGGTCTGCGAAAATAAAGTCCGGGTAAGAAATTCTGTTAACCGGGGAGAAGGTGTAAGGCATTCCCCGAATCCGTGGTTCTAGCACGGTCGCTTTATTGACTATAACTTGGCCTAATTATCTGATTTATTACATGTTTAAAATCTTTTATGCGTTACCGCTTCTATACCGCTTTTAACAATTATGGAATTTATTTAAACAAGTTGCGATATCGCGCACTCGTTGTCTTGTTACATATTGCAAATCACGTCACGTGAAATGCAACCGCGATTTACAACATATTTATTTTATTATTATTTGAAGTTGTAAGATTAAGTCACGCAAGTGTGCACTTGAATTTGGAATTATGTATCATGGTTATGCCACAAGAACCGTACCCATTGCCACGACGATTATATTTATTTGACGTGCCTAAAACAACTAGCGATGTGAATTATCTAAAGAGTATCTATGCAAGAAATATGGGAGGGCTTACAACAATATTAGTTCTGATGGCATATTAATTCTTATTTAACAATCCAAATTATGTGTACTTTTACAGAAAGGACAAACTTATTTAATATCTATGTATTTATTGTTACTACAGGAGGGTTTGTCTTAAATTAGACATGCTAAATCACAAGGTCACAGTAACATGAATCAAGTAGCACAAGAAAAACACAAGCCATTTGTAATTTGCAATTTGCAATCAAACAGCCCAAGAGTAATGAATATAATTCTAGACTACGTTAATTGCAAGTCTCGTGACCCGTTAAAGTTAACAATTTTAGATTCTTACCACAATAAGGAAAATATTATTTTTATTTCAGGAACTTAAGACCCAAAACCAAGGAAACTTTGTAAACTACATGAATTTTTTAAATCAATAGAAAATATTCATAAAAGACAAAGTTAGTTCATCTACATACCTAATAAACTCACAAATAAACAACTCATCAATCAGAGATGGTACAATCACAAGCATAATACAAAACGAAATGAATACTCAAAGTAAGAAGTTCATTCGTTCAATATCAAAAGTAGAATAACTTAAAGAAAAACATGGAGAAATCAGACTTTTATTGATGGATGTATAGTACAACGAAAATAATGGCCATGGATCTTTCTTCAAAAACTCGACCGGACAGCCTCGCCGACAAACTCAAACGAAGCTCTCAAAAATTAAAAAAAAAAACCGGACTCAACAGAAAGCTTCACTCAATCTATTCCATTTTTGGTTAGGATCTGCTAGGTTTCGTGAGGTAAAGCAATTGGTTTCAAGGTTGTTTCATGGCTGATTTTACTTTTACTCTGTTTCCGTTCCCTTCTCCTCTGTTTTTTTGTTTCAGTCCTTTAGGTCTTGTTTTCTGTCGAGCCTCCTCTTCGTGTATGTGGTGAATACTGATATAATATGTGTGAAGATGATGGAGAGTGACGAGAGAGAGGCGGGCAGCTTGGAGGGATTCCAGGAGAGGGTGGCGGCTAGGTTTTTTTTTTAAAAAATGGAAGAAAGGTCCTATTTCTTCCTTTTTCCCGTGAAAGCAGAGGGATGCTCGAGTTTTTGTAAAGGGAGCGGGATCCGTTTTTTCTTCTTTAGGGAATAGGGAAGATATGGGGGTTGTGAGCGGGGACAAGCATGGAGGACAAGTATGTGGGACAAGGTAAAGTGGAGTGGGGACAAAGTGTAGTATTGGTGAAATGAGTGGGCGAAAATTCAAGTACAGTCAAAAATTAGGTGCTCACAAACATAACATAACAAATAAGTGTAATCAAGATAATTTTGAGAATTATATATTATTTGAAACAAATAATTCTATTTTTAGATAATACAAAATAAGGATGTGTTAAGTTTAAAAAGGGAATTATAATTTTTAATACTTTCACGATTCAATCAAAAGAAACCAAAATAGAAATAGAAAAAAATTTCTTACATATTAAGGTAAGTTGACATGCTTTTATACCATTTAATTACCCATCTGATATGGTATAAGTGATGGTTCATTATGAAACATTGCCGGCATTTGGTTAGAAACTAAAATTGATAGTTGGCAGTATAGACTATAGAATATTGCTGACATTTTCAAGAAATTTGTTTAAGGGTTACAACAGTTTCTAGGTACAAAAAGCACACTATTGTATCGAGTGGGATTCAATTTCTTGAAGAGACCAAGCCACCAAGGTAGTGAGCCAGAGCTTTTGATTCTAGGTTTTCAACAACATAACATATTATAATCTCATATAATAAAATGCTTATAATTACAAATACTTTTCTTGTGTCTATATAATAATATTTATTTTCTAATTTAAATGAATTTAACATTTATTTTAACGTCATACTATTTTTACATAATTCATTCTTCATTTGAATATAATTTTTATTGATGACACGACACCTATACTAAAATTAGTTTATCTAAAACTTGAATACAATTTTTTATACAAAGTTTATGATAAAAAGGTATTTATCACTGCACTACAGGCCCTTGTTGGTCGGTCCTCCACTTTATTACCTTCCAATGTGTTTGTCATGATGAGTTAATTTGACCAAATTATAAAGTTAAATCGAATTTGATTAATTCATTTAAAATTCAAATCTTGATCCTCTCTCCTATTCTTCCACTTTTAACTTGTGTTGCCTAAATATAATGTGTCAGACTCTCTTTGAATTCTTTTATTCTAACACTCACATCCGTCCAATTTAAAAGTGAATTTAGCATTTAGAGTCAGTTAATTTGGAGTAATAGTAATTTTCTTATATGAGTATACTTTATTTTTGTATTATATACATAATTCGAGCAAAAAGTAATAAGTTGAAGCGAAAAATTTATTTTATATATCTGCCTCTAAATTCAACGGAGTCAACTAATTGTATGGTCATCCAAGTATTGTACTAAAAGATAACCGAACACGCCAGTTCCGTTGTGTCCAATTCGATTACTCTAACGTTTGTTCTGTTTCTGTCACTAGGAGGATAACAAATCCCACATCCCCATTAGTTCGGCCTTCTTTTCCTAGGTATATATATTTGTCAATATGCACGCAAATATAGATGTGAAGTGTATATATATAAAAGTAAAATATGATGATGCAGTATTAAATGATACTTAACATAGATATGTGAAACAATAATATAAGGAGTCTTTGGTAAGATGTATCTCTCTACATATATATATATATATAGTACGAGAAAGTCAAAGTGCAACTATTACACTACAATGTCAGAGTTAAGAAGTTCAACCTAGTTTTACTGACTAAGCTCCACTGCTCCAGCTCCATTCATTTACTTACTTCGCTAATACAAGTCAAGATCAAAGGCGATGATGAGGTAGGAAAAGAGAGAAATTCATTGATTACTTAAATTTATAAATATACAGCTGAAATGCAAAGTACATTGAAACATTTTTCAGGACAATTAAGCCTCATTTACTTCACTTAATAAAGATTTAATTTTTAATTATTAGTCAGATCTCAGTCATTAAATACATTTATTTTTTAATTTTACAATTATTTAATGAATCTAAATAACTACACAAATATCGATGAGACCACAAACAGTGTAACATCATTGGAATCTGATAATAGACTTATTTAGATGACTAGACCGTTAAGGTCGTCTGAACTTAAACATTAAAAAATGAGGTTTTATATTCTTATTAATTACTTGCTTCTGATAGTAACTTCAAAGTTGTTCATGAGATAACCATCTGTGAAACATGGTAAAGCACTCTTTAGGCTTGTACTCTGGAGCTACATGTCCCGCTCCCTGTCCAAAAACATAAGTAAACGAATACACAAAGTTAACAAGGTAGAATCAAAAGATTATATATATTCGAAATGTCCTTTACCGTTGTGTTTGGTACGAAGGAAATATTTTTTGAAAAATATTAGGCTAAATATTTTGAAAAATATTTTCCTTATGGAGGAAAATGACTTCCCTACTAAAAGGAGGAAAAATTATTTTCAAAACTCTTTCTTAACCTTCGTCACCCTACTCCCACCCACCCCTGCACCCCTTAACATTGCCTCCGGCATTCCGGCCGCTAGATCCCGACCTACCACCCTCCCCGCTCTTACCCATTTCGTCTCATGTAGTGTTTGCCTAAATTATATATTTTTCAAAACTATTTTCTACTATCTAACCAAATGCTGAAAAAAAGTTAAAAAATCACTTATTTTCCAATAACACATTTTCCAAGAAAATTGTTTTTTCCTTCATACCAAACCCACCCTACATTAATTAATTTTATTGCAAAGCATGAAGGGAAAAAATATTTAATGTTGAAAGTTAAACTCTTGCCTTGACAGTTGCAAATGTCATCTGGTTGGAATAGGATCTTGTATATCTGCAAATGAACAAGAAGAAAACCAAATTTTACCTTTCTAAATAGGCATGTCTGTCTGATGAAAATTAACGAAACAAGAAAAAAAATAAAGTTTAATTTGAGAAGTTATACCCTGCAACTTGATCATCAACAATCCATGGCCGCCATTCATCCACAATAGAATAATTTAGAAATTTTATCCAAAATTGAGTTGATTGGAACGGAATGCCCATATCATGATCGCCACTGTTTAATCAAAGAAGATACTTCAATATGTTTGCAACGAATTTTGTATTGCTTAATTATCTCTTAATTATATATCGTACTGGGCAAAAGCAAAAATGCTATATGCAAAAATGGAAAATGTCCAAATTTGCCCCAGTACTATATGAAATTGCTCAACTTTGTCTTCAGTTACACTTCTGATTTATTCATATCCTTGTATGTCCTTGCCATTAATAAAGCTCCAGTGTGAAAGGGTTGGACCCCATGTGTCCAAAATTTCAGAGAAATTGTTCAACTTTACATATTCCTTAATATTTGACTATGGTCTAAAATTACCCTTGGGTACTTGAAGCATCATTAGAGATCAATGGCAAGAACGAGACTTTTTTTTTCTAATGGATCATACGGAAGTTAAAATTGCTTCATTTCGGATAGTATAGGGGCAAATTCCACCTCTTTCTTCACGTAAAATATAAATATTTAATCATCTAACCTGTATATAAGTGATCGATAAAGTTTTTTGCTGAGTTCCACATGATAAGGTATGCTATCTTGGAAAGTAATAATGTAAGTTTTATTCACGATACTTTCTCTACATCTTGTCCATCTTTCTATAGCTCCCTGCATTATAAAACCATAGTTAAATAGACAATGAGGTAACCTCAGTTTATTGTCTTTTGATGAAAATATCTTTTCTAAAGTGCTATATAATTAATAATTTAGTTGACGTACCTTACGAACATTAAGAGCTTCTTGTACTCTTGGATCATTTGCCCAGTAAGTAGATAACCTGTGTACCTCAACCTACAATTATGGACAAAGGTTAAATCATTTAAAGAACACAAAACAAATTATATTTAGTTCATCAACCTGTTATTTTATTTTATTTGTCTCTTTTTTCAAAACAATAACGTAGAAATAGCATATATAGGTTTGAAATTTGACCAAACAAAAAAAAAAGCCTAGGTTTTAATGGACGTACACGGCACTTAATGGAATAATTTTCATAAAGAGATCTTCTTTCTCCAAACAATCGAGATTCTGCATCTGAACCACAGGAGGGCTCTAGGATGTGTGGCTTATTGATTCCACTAATCAACTGCAATACGTAGTATATGCCTAAAAGTTAATATTAAAGCAAAACTACATGAGTTAAATTAATCCAAAACTATAATACTATATATACCTGTTCGAAAGTTTGGTAGTGTTGATAGCACAATACATTGCTGGGGTCAACATATTGTAAATTTTCCCCGTTACAAGTTTCCTTCAGTAACTGCTAACATAAATATTCTGATTTTATTATTTTCATGAGTACCATATTATTTGCATTTACGATATGATAAATTTTAAAGTAAAGGATAAGAGTACTAGCCTTATAAAGTTCGTCGGAGATAAGTCCCATTCCATGAGCATAAGGAATCCAGTAGTTATATTGAAGAGGAAACGTGCTAGGATTCCCAAGTATATATCCCTAAAACCAATTAATTAACCGTCAAAACGACACTTCCCTATAAGAAAATTACTCATATTAAAGAAATTTCTTCTTAAGCCAAAAAGACTACAAACCTTAAGGTTAATCGATGGCTTGTGCCCTGCTTCAATTCCTGCATTTTTACATCCTTATTCCTTTAGTGTGAACATGAAACCACTACCATCGGCAGCTACAGTAAAAACACCCTCTACAGCTAAAGATAGGGGTGTTAAATGTGTCATTTTTTAGCGGATTAAACCGGGTTGAACTAACAAACCGATTGGGTCATAACTCGTCCAGAGTTTGCTAAGGTAAAAAATTGCCAGATCAATTTGGACTAAATAATGTATTGTAACTTCATTTCTCTGTTACAAAATTAAAATAATAAAAGGGTTTTCTTTTACTTTATATCAAACGAATCATTAAAACTTACTTTTCTAACCTTTGAAACTTTTTCGTTTGGATCAATTTGTGCTACAAGCATTTGATGGACCAACTTGGGCCATCCCCAAAATGATGATATGGATATGGATATATGTTCAATCCAACCCGCTCAAGTCTTGGCAGGCTATATTTTTTTGGGGCTAAATTTGATATCCCTAACTCCAAAATAAAAAAGTAATAAAAGCACAATGTCACAGCAAAGACTTCTAAGTGTAATAGGAGGAAAAAAAATACCGGCAAAGATCACTTTTAACCCGCGGCCGAAACTATTTATATTTGTAGCCGCAAAAATGTATAATATTTGTATATAACATATAGAAATGTATATATATACAAAATATTTTTTTTTTTGGCTTTTATTTTGAGAGTGACTATACTGTGTCATTTTTCCAAAATACATTCTGGAATCAAATACTTAGATATTCTTTATGATGAAACTTCACATCACATATATCTTACCATTTGATATTAGTTGAGTGATAACTGGAAGAGTGATGCCAGAATATGAATCTCCACCAATGTACATTGGATTCCTAATGAACTCTGGATGCTTAATCAACCACTAAGAAAAAGAATACAATCATATATTATAATTATCTACTTGTTTAATTTCTTTCTTTAAACAAATTAGTAGGTATATGATAGCATAAGAACTCTAATGTGTACCTTTCGCAAAAACAGGTAGATATGGTCGCATGCTTGTAGATCAGTAGACTTGAATGTTGTTGAAGTTGTTGCATAAGAGAAGCCACTATTCACAGGTTGATCCAAGAAGATTATGTTAGCTACCTGATATTTTTAGACATGACCTTTCAAAATTTACGCTAAAATTCACTTGCAAATTAAATGACAAAATATATCTTCCTTTAAATCCAACCTTGGTCCATGAGTTTGGATTCAATGTTAGCTTTGGAAGGCTCCCATTGTACTTGTTTGGCTCAAAATACAACGGCCCTATATATGCAAAAGGAATCAAGAAGCAGAAATTACCAAGTAGATATAACAAAATAAAAATACCAAAAAGGAGTACTACATTTAGCAAGTGATTATTTTAATCAAAATATAATTTAAAGAAAGCAATTTATATCAAGGGGATTCAACATCTATTGTTATAATGTAGTAAAAAACCAAAAACAAAAAGGAGTACCTATTTGATAAACAAGTGCAGTAAAGGAAGAGCAACCAGGTCCTCCTGAGAGCCAAACCAAAACAGGATCTTTTGTGGGTTCTGATTCTGATTTAAGAAAATAATAAAATAGCTGCACTTCTTCATATTCACCTACTCCAATATACCTGCGGGCAACGTTAGCCAACGACCATCTTAGACAAATACACTTAAATCCGGCAATACATTCAACAGTTCTTCTCTTTCTTTAACCAGTTTCGACATAGTTTAAGTTTGATTTTGCAGTTTAATTAGCAGATGCAGTATCAAATTAAAGCATTAGTTATTCTGCTTCCTCTCTCCCTTCCATAAAATAATTACAAAAGTTAAGGATGTAGTGGTAGAAGGGGAAAAGAACTTACCCAGTCTCAAGATGGAAGGGAAGTCGACCTTCAAATCCAGGAAGAAATTGAACAGTAGAGTGAGAAGCAGCAGTATGTTGTGGTAGGAGAACAACTCCATAAAACAGCAATGGCAGCAAAAACAAGTTGATGATGGACACAAGTGAAATAATATTGCACATCATGTGGACACAGAAGCTAGCTTTCAAAACTAGAATCCAGCAACATATATATATATATATATATATATATATATATATATATATATATATATACACCCAATGTACAACTTTACTTTTCTATTTTGCTTTGGCAGATCCTAAATAAGTAAATAGAATAAGAAGATACTGAAACTTGCAAGACAGATACAGAACAAGCTTTAGTAATTAGCAGC